ATCATGTTAATTTTGAAATTCATAAAAATAGAAACATGACAAACAAAATGAATTAAATAACTAGAACAAAGTCCATTTGTTAATTATTACGAATGATACTAAAGTTATTAAAATATAGGGTTAATGTCCAAAAATACATCAATTTTTTTTTCCAATGAGCACCTAACATCATATATTTTTTAGAGGTCCAAAAAATACCCATGACTGTTGAAAATGAGGGAAAAAATAATACTGCCATGTGAGTTAGTCTAACCACCATTAGTTAGCCTACACAACTACCATGTGTATTGTGTTACAATGTGAAAGTACCAAAATATCCAACTCAAGGGGCAAACTAGGGGAGAATTACCAAGAGGACTCAAGGAAAAAAAATTTAATTATCAAAAAGTCCTAATAACAAATGATCGGCTTGAATTTGCTATCATTTCTTACTCTAAAACTTGTCATTACTTATTCTTCACTTGTCAATGAAACAATCACTCTAGATAAAATCCTTTTTTGGATCTGATTGTAATTCTCCTTTAAAAAAAAAATCCCTCTCACTCTAGATTCATCCTTTGCTCCAGAAATTCAGCTACAATCCATCAATAATGAAACAACAATCTATCAACCAAATATTTATCAACCACAAAAAAGCAATCTATCAACTAGAAATTACACTACCAGAAAAAATATTAATCTTACTAAAATCAAAGTTAGAAACAATAATCAAATATTTTGCTTTCTGCAGTGTAGTCTTATTGCCATTACCACAATGCCATGTTCATCACAGCATTTTAAATCCTTACACCTTAACTGAACCCCAACTATCCCTATCCATCAAATAATGTAATATTCCATATTGACATTCAAAATTAGAGTTATCCTTCATATAACTATATACTACCTACCTCTGCTTTTCATTTTAAGACCTCAATGATAGTAATACACAACTTCACAGGCTGAGGGAAGAAGAGAGTAAGGAGATGAAGTATGGGGGATGCGATGCCAAGACGGTGGCCAGCAATGAGATCTAAGAGGAGAAGAGGGAGGTTGTGGCGTGGGGTGTGGCATGAGGGTAGGGAGGCAAGAATGGGTCACAAGCTGCAGATAGGGTAGGTTAGGAATTTTCATTTTTAGAAAATATTAAATTAATATTAGTAGGCATACGTGGATTATCTTTTATTTTTATTTTTTCCCCTTCATTGCCACCTAAGACATTATTATGGCCACCAATGTTTTGAAAATCAGACCGGACGTTGAACTGGAAAAAACAACGGGTCATGGTTCAAATGTTGGATCGGTTAGACCGGTGGTCAGACCGGTAACATAATAATTAAATAAAAACAATATTATATACATGTAAAATAATATAAATATAAAAAATAAATACTTATAATAGGAAATAATTCTTATAGATTTTTTTTTGGCTAAAAATCCTTTTAGAGTCAAAGTAGAAAATACTTATGGATATTCTTAAAAACTAAAAATGAAAAATAAAACATTCTTTATTAATGTGTACGGTATTTAGAGCAAAAGGTTTGCTTTTCTTTGCACATTTTCGATGCTCTCTAGTCTCCAGATGCTTCTTTTATCTCTCGCCATCGTCATTTTCAAACGCATTCCAGAAGCTTCCTCTATTGCCATTCCAGATTCAAATTGCTCCAAGATCTTAAATCGGCCACTGCACTCGATTTGCACAGCCATCTCTCTATCATCATCTTCAATTCATCTCATTCTCTTTGTCCTCTTCTACCTCTTTTACATTTGTGTTCTTGTCTTATTGTTATTGGAGAAGAAAGGTAAATCGACTATTTTTTCAGATTTGTTAGTTTTCAACTTGATTTATTATCTTTTCCTGGTTAGCTGTTGTCATTCTCTTATACTCCCCGCTTTTATTTTTCTCATTTGCATCCTTTCTCTTCCTCCTTGTTCTGATCCTAAACAAAAGAAGAAAATTTCACCCGCCTGATTTTTGCAAAACCGTTCCAAGTACCGAACGGTTCAATCCGAGCAAACCATTCAGACGGTTTAAACCTATAAACTGAGCTGCAATGTTGAACGAGTAGTGCTTAGACCGGTCCGACCATCTGGTTTTTAAAACCTTGATGGCCACACAGGTTGCCATATCAACATTTTCAGTTAGAAATTCTTCTCTAACAGTCAATGTTTTAAAAGCCGGATCGGACATTGAGCCGGAAAGATCAACGGGTCATGGTTCAACCGGTTGGATCAGTCAAATCGGTGGTCGGACCAGCAACCTAATAATTAAATAAAAATAATATTATATATAAATAATACATGTATAAAAAATAAAATGCTACATAAATTTCTAAAAATAAATCCAAACAAATAAAATAAACATAGGATATTGGCAAGCATAATTAATTGAGGAAAAAAAACTAGTCTTCCCTTTAGTTCTCGCTCTCTTTCAATCTTTTTTTGTATTGTTGTCCTTATTTTAAAAGTAAAATAACGAAAAAGTTGATACCTTTAAATTTCAGAACTTATAATAAAAGATAATAATTTAATATATATATATATATTTATAATCACATATTTGCAATGGTGAAAAGACTTGTCAGTTGTCCCACATTTTACTAGAAGGCAGTACCCCGCTCCTCTCTCCATGACCATAAGAAAGCTCCTCTCTCCATGACCATCAGAAAGCTACCTTGAGAGTTGAGCCTTGAGCCTTATCTCACCCTCCCTTGCGACTCTATTTTCTCTTTCTACTGGTGCACTCGACTCGGCAAGACTGCAACCTTTTTTGTTTAACAGGGTTGCAACATTCAGAACACAATAGAAGAAGGGGGAAAAGTGATCAATAGGCTTTATTCTTGTATTTGTTTTTGTTCTTCATTTTCCTTCCTCGTCTTCTTCATTATCTCTGACAATTTCTTCTTTCTTCTTCTGCATCTTTATTTTTGCTGCTGTGATCACACTATAGGCTCATGAAGGAGGATGGATATGAGGTCAATGGTAAGGACTGCAAATGGAAGAAAAGATGGAATAATGGAGAGAATGAATCAAAATGGGAGTCTCTCGGGTAGGGGAAGAAGTTTCTTTGAGGTTCATCAGGCCGTTCATTTTTCATAAAATCGCTCCGGTTTCTGGTTTTAATCCGGCTTCTGGCTTAACTGCCAGCTTAGGGCAGTTCAAAACGGTCCAAATGCTCAGACGGTCCAATTACCTAGAATGAGCCTCTGATTTCTCCGAGTAACGGTTGAACCGGTTTGACCGTCTGGTTTGGTTCGGCTCTTTAAACATTGCTAACAGTCAACGTAAGAAAAACTAAAGGCAATGTCATTTCCGCTCTCATTTTCAATGTTCATGAGTATGTTTACGCTTCCAAAAAAACATTTTTGCATATTGATATAAATATTTCAATGCTTAAATTAAAGGGATCGTCAGTGGGCATTGATAAGTCTCATTATTTGCACATATTTCTAGCCCTAAACTCATGCTTTTGCCATTTATATTTGCATACTTTGGGTATAATTAGCTTTCATTGTGCATAAGAGTTGGTGAAAGGAATTGTGAGGTTTTATAGGTGTTTTTGCATGTTTTTATATGATTTTTTATGTGTGTACTTTTGATCCCTATTTTGGTGTGAATTTCAGGGAGTCTAACTTGCATTTTTCGCCATTCTGTCTGAGGCGCCATGGTGGATATGGGAAAGAGCCGCGGCGAATTTCTAAAGGCACTCTCGGTCACAGGCGCCGCAGCGAATGATAAGAGGCGCCACGGCGGATCAAAGTTTACATGGAGCTCAAGATCACTAATTGAAACGACACCATACAGGCTAGGCGCCGCGGCGGATGGACAGAGGCGCCCGGCGAATGACGGAAAACTTCAGATTTAAATACAGAGTCGCGCGCTAAAACGAGAACGGAGGAGATTCAGTTCTTTATTCTCTCCAGTCGTCGATTTTCTTGTTCTCTCCGCCTTCTCTCAATTCTCTCTTCCATTTTCGTCCAAATCCATCATTTTCCACCGATCATCTATGAATCTTTCATTGATTCTTGCTGTTTCTGCTCCAATTCAGAGTATGAGTAGCTGAATTTCCAAGTTCTCCTAGCAATGAAGCTGACCTGAGTTCATAGAGCTGAACAGGGAGTCGTTTCAGATCTAGTTTCTACTTTCTATTCTAAGATTCATTTGTTTCAGTTGAACATTTGTGATTAGAATGAAGGTTGAGTGATTAGATTTATGTTTCTTGGAAGTTAGATCTGATTGAACATTCAGATGCGAGTTGTGTCCTTAATTCAGTTGAATAGAGGATTCTCTGTTGATTTGTAGATCTAATTCGTTTTTACTTGGACTGTTGTTCTGTAATTCTGAATTTTGATTGAATGAATTGATGATTCACAGTTGTGATCATCCTTAGAGAATTGCAACTTGCTTCTCAAGTGTTTTTGTCAATTGATTTTCCTTCTCTACAAAGCAAGACAATGAATCTAGTAAGATAGTTGTTTTTTATATGTGTTTAGAGAGATTTGAACAATAGCTGAATCTATCCATTTAATTGGCTTTGAGAGACTCCAAATTATAAGATTGAACAAGGAAGGTTGGATAAATTGCTAGGAGAACTACTATCTCTTATCTGAATCTCTTTTGCATTTTACCTTTCATTGGATTTGTTTCTTGTTTCAACTTCTCTTTTTTAAAACTCAAGCTTTCACCTTGATAATTTGATAATTAAAGTAAATTGTTAAGAATTGAATTACAACTTAAGGCTCCTTAGGAAGAATGACCTAGGTATTGCCTCACTTGCCGCATTTCCCTCGTAAAATTTTGATCACCTAACAACAAGGTTTATCAGGCATGCAGAGAATTTACTTTGTCCAGAGCAATTTAGTATTTGTCTGTTTATATGTCCATTATTTATCCTTCTAAGCAATCAGACTTTTTAATATCCTTTTCAATAAATATTAGTTCTTGTAAGCTTTTCTCTCTAACGTTTCCTTTTTCTTTCAGTACTGAAGAAATCAAGGACTCAAGTACAGGGGGCAAAAAGAAAAGCAAAAATCAAAGTTAATTTACACGTTTGTAAGCCTCATCTTTGAGTATAAAATTTTGCACACAGCGATGCATGCAATCCTCAAGCTGCGAGGACACCTTTTAGGAATAAAACTTGTAAGATTCTAAAATAAATCCGTTCCAGAAAAAGTGCTTACTCTTCGTAATAAAAATATGTCGCCATACTCCTAGTGAACTTCCCTAAAAACTTTTACTACTTCACATATTCACGTATTTATTTACTCATTAGAGTGGTGCGTAGTGCCTAAACAAGAGAAAACTAGTGCCCCAGGAGAAGAAGTCATAGGAAATAGTTTGTCTTTGTTCAAAATAAGACAATGAGATCCCACTCATCCAGTTCTTTGTGCTTGAGATTCACACTCCTCATCATTCAATCCTGGGGTTAGGTCATCTTCAGCCCTATCCCGATCAGTCACTTCCCTGGTTGTGGCGACTTCAGCTCGGCGATACATATGACCATGAAGAAGATATCCGGCCTACATACGAAAACATTGTAGAGCTTTTTAGGCCCTGTCGAAAATCTACTAAATGAATCAATGAGCAAGACATGATATGATAATAGAGGAGGCGATTTTTACCAAATTTTCCCATCAAATAATGACGAATGGATCTTTACAAGTCATAATTAAATGAATGGATCTGTCAAATGTGTCCTTCCATGTAGTGTTCCTACCCCCGAAAAAAAAAAAAACAACAACAACAAAAATGCCCAGGATGGCAAACACCTATGGAAATTTTAGGCTATGTGCAACAACATTACAATACAATCACGACGTCATTGAAACAAATCATCAATGTGAAATGGAAGTGAATAATTATGTAAATTTATCTTAGCAGAACAAATGAATCAAGAAAATTTTGAAGTATCGGGAAACTAAATGATAAGGTGCTTCACCAAGATGCTACTTAAACTTACCTTCAGAACCGCAATAATTGTGCCTGGAGGCTGGGAACTAACTGGAAATTGGATGATGGCATTATGCCTATCTGGATTATAGGGCTCCTTCTTAGAGTTAAACTTCTCCAAACCAATTTGTTCAAATGCCTGGAAGCAAAAGCAGTTTAGGCTTGAGCACTTTCACTATAACCGGAAGCACAAAATTTATCACACAATGGTGGAGAACGGTAGTTGCAAAAATCTCTTCATGGGCCAATAATTTGATTTCAACAAGCACTTTATGGATCTAGGAATTGTAATGCTATAACACAAAGGTTATCTAATCTTCCATATGACACGAACAAAAGTTTATGTACAATATCATGATTATTGAGAGCATGTAGTGCATTTGTCCGCGAATAATCAAACTTGGAAAGAAAAATCAAAACAACATAATAACGATCAATAGATCAAAACATCAAGGTCTTGAATCACAAAATTCATTAATGTCTGACAATGTTTTTGAGTCTAAGCTTTACCCTAAAATATGTAAATCAAATCCTTTATTCCACCAAAAGCAAACATCATATAGCGATTCATCAATAACTCTTCCTTTCTGATGTTAACATTTTCTCATCAGCCATATCCAAAGAGCATGAGAAGATAGGATTGGGTTGCTCTCTTTTCATGTTCCTCGTATGGTTAGTGAATACTAAATCATTCTACATTAATTGTCTAAAGATGGGTCAGGTGATCTTCAGCGAAGGCCTTTGCAAAACCAATTAAAGCAATTGTTGCCTTATTTATAAGTAATGCCAGGGCATGAGCTACAGCTACATATAGCACAGCCACAGTAAAGCCATATGAAAGTCGCAAGCCTAAACATCTGACAGTGTTAGGAACAGCAGCATTCATAAACTACATCAAGCTATCATTAATTAATAAGTATAGACTATATCATCCTTGTACTCAGAACCACACAGACGCAACAAGTGGTAGAGTATTTCACCTCATCAAGTTGTTTCTCAGTCATTTCAACAGCTTCTAGAAGTTTTTTCAGGATGGGTAGAGCGTCATTGGACTTCTTAAATGCATCAATATTTGAAAACTTGTCCTTTGCAACCAAAGAAGCCCTTCCCAAATCATCTGCCACATCTACCAAGACTTTTGCAAAATTCTGCAGACAACGGTCAGGTGAATTCGCATTCAGAACCAAATAACTGAATCAAAGAAAACTTTCAATATGAGCAAACAGAATAGCTTTTCTTCGTCAAATGCCTAGAAGTTGGGAACTAACTTGAAGTTCAAGTATGGCACCATCTCTATCTGGACCACAAGGCTCACGTTCAGGATCAAATTCATCACATTTTTTAATCACCTGTAAGCAAAACATTATAGGCTTATGATTGTACCTCTCAATAAAGGAAGCATATTACTCTCAATCATTAGATAAAGTAAAACAAAAGGCCCATTTGGTCACATGCATCAAGAGATAATGTAATGCAAAAGCTTTTACATTACCACACTAAGAGCAGTTGATTGTGTTTTTATGTGGTCATCAGCTTTACATTATAAAAGCCTGATCACCTCTAATTGAGTAACCCCCCATTTAAATCCAACTTTGGGATAAAAATTACGACATCAATGTAATTCTTGTTAAAAAGAACTGAAGTGTCCATCCCTATTCTCCTTCATCCTCCACACCATCCACCCACAATCACCACCTTTGCCATCATCAGCCACCATCTACAGCCACCAGCCGCTGTTTGGTGCTGTTGGCCACCATCTGCTACTACTGGCCATTACCCACCATTGCTAGCCACCATATCTACTACCGCCACCCATTGAGGGGCATTTCACCTTTTTGTTTAATTTAAAAAGAAAAAATAATTGGTTCACATGTCTACCAAACCAAGGTAGGTGATAGTCATCATATTTCATTAAATTCTTTTTTTTTTTTTTTGGTCAAAATATTTCACTAAATTCATTCACATCAATTTCCTTGCAAGTGACCAAACAGGACACTAGGTTGCAACAATTTCTTCAAAGGCTACTGACCTAAATTTCTTTATTAGTTGCTATCAACTTAAACTTGATACTCATTTAGAGGATCTAGCAATTTCTTGAAGTGTAATTCTACAAGAGAATTGGATAAATTAGTCCTACCTTACGTATGACAAATATCAATGTTTGAATGCTAGATCATAGTTATAAATGGCATGTAGAGCGCTCACAGAGCAAGGGGATTCAAAATACTACAGCACGTAGTGCATAATATTGATAGAGCTTATGAAGATGTAGCACGCATCTAAAAAAACAAGAAATCCAAAATATTCTACCTCAGCAATTTGCTTCTCAGCCTCTACAAGACATCCATGAAGTGTTTTCAGGAGTTGAACAGCTCCATCTAATCCTTTAGAAGCATCAATACTTGAAAACTTGTCATTTCCAACAAATGATGTCCTTCTCAAATTATCCGCCACATCTAGCAAACCCTCTGCAAAATTCTGTAGCATATTTGGAACCACTAAGCACAGAGTTGAAGAAGCAATATTTTAGAGGAAGGTAACAAGAAGTTAAGAGTATGGACCTTCACAACAAACTCTCTTCCGTCCCTGGAGAAATCCATTTCGCTTCCTAAGCCTGAATCAGAAAAAGTAGTCCATTTAGTACCTCGCCTCTTTTATTTAAGAGATTGAGACAGAGTCCAAAATATAACCAGATCTGGTCTGTTCTGCAGCTTCAGCCTGCCCAGAACTTTCAGTCCCAACACTAGCCTTTTCTTCTTCACTTGCTTTTGTTGAGTCAGCGCTTGTGAACGAGCCAATATCTCCATGTTCCTTTCCATCGGGTTTAGGTGAGGTTGAAAAAAATAAAGCTCTTGGAGTTGAGGATGCATTTATTGTCAGATGCAACAAGTTGACTGGAACTGGAATCAGCTGGAATATCAGAAAGCATGTGCGGCACTTAATGAGAATTCGGTAATTGAAAGTTATTTACTACATAAATAATGTTTCAGGAAGATTTGGATCTGGAAGAATAGGACTCCAATAATTATATACTGCATTTGTATACAATCACTAACGGCAGAGAAAGTAAATAAGTAACAATTTGTTCAGCAACAATTTGTTGCATTCAACTATGAGAAGTGATATCGATGTGTCAAATTGTCTTCAGCAATACTGCTTCTTTCTCAACAAGATAAATAATAGATTTTTATAACAATCTGACTAAGTCAAAAGTGAAATATAGTCATGTCGAAATGTAAAGAAGAGATATAAATTAAAATGTAAAATATGAACTATTTGTATACTGTTACATTTTAATAATGTCCTGACAAGAAGGGGCAGACAAAACTGGAAGCAGAAAAATGAAGATGCCTATCAACATCTATTTTGCCATGCACTAACACTTGCAAGTCTGCTTCTGATCATTTGTGAATTTAAATTCAATGCGAACAGAAATGAATGAGATGTAAAAATGAGCAATCAGTCGTTACTGTACCGGCTAAACGTAATCCAAAATTGGCACCAAAATAGCTTAGCATGCACTGAAATCTGAATTTGAATTGAAAATAGACGATCATATTTTGTGTAAATGTCAAAACCCCAGTAAAACCCTTCTGGAAAAAACTGCGAGCAATTACATTTTTTCACTGAATTCTAGCAGCATACTTCACTGGGAGATTAAAGAAGAAGAGAATAAAGATCGCCAACAAGCGCTCTGACTCGATTAAAGAGCAGCAAGACAGATTTTACAGTAATCCTAAACCCTAAGAAAACCTTCAAAAACAAAAGGTACAATGATCAGCATTTCCACTGATCTGGGAACGTACATTGTCGGTAGATAAAAGACCCTGGGAAGGAAGATGTTGCGGCGACTGAGATGCAGGGAGAAGCCTGTAGCTCCGGCAAACATTCCTGGAGACTCGGGACAAAACCCTACAGACAAACATGGCAACAGAACTACAGAAGACTAGCAGTGGATAGAAAGGCCAAACGTGAAGACCTGAAAATGAGAATCACAGAATCACAATACGGAATTGCAAAATCGCCGTGACTTGGGAATGAGCAAAGTCCGCAAGGCCAAAAGCTAGAAGTAGAACGAGAAGTGTACTCGTCTAATTGTTTTCGGGCTCTAATAACAACAGTAATAATAACACTAATATCAACAACAATAATTAAAAAAAGAGAAAATGACAAATCAAGAAGGTGGAATATATGATATTCCGATTTGAAAAATTAAAAAATGTAATGACAGCGAGGGAAGTCTTTCTCAAATTAGAATTTTGAAATTCAATAAAATAACAAAAATACCATTTGTATTTTCTTTTTTTTAAAAAAAAAAACTCAACCACTCACCGGTGGCCGTCAGCCCCTACTAGCAACTAGCTGCCAGTGTCGGGCAGCTGTTGCTGGCCACCGATGTGGTGGTGGCCGATGGAGTTTTTTTGTGACAGTTTTTTTTTTTTTTGCATGGGAGAATGTTATAAGAAGTGGTGGGCGTCGGATTTGATCCCACAACCCTTTAGTCATTTGAGTCATCAAAGACTTCTTAACCTCATATACAAACAAAAATATAAGTTGACTCTTTACTATGACTCCAACTCGTGACAACAATTTACTTGAAGATGACAAGTCTTAATTGAGAAATAACAAGTCTAAATTTGATTTTAACAAAACAACTTTTCCTGATACATAACAAGAAGTAGCATGTACATTAATTAAAAATAACCATAATTTATTTGAAAACGACACGTCTTTACTGAAAAATGACAAGTCTAAACTTGAGATTAACAATGTGTCTTTTCTTGATACATAACAAGAAATAGCATGTACATTAGTAAAAAATGACCATAATTTATTTGAAAATGACTCGTCTTTACAAGAAAATAACAAGTTTAAACTTGACATTAACAAAGCAACTTTTTTTTATACATAACAAGAAATAACACGTACATTCTAAAATAAATTTTTGAAAAAAATAATACTTATAAGCTTTTTGAAGGTGATTTAAAATCTAAAGATTTGTGCTTATTGCATCCAAACTCGTGATATCTCAAGCTCTCATTGTTGTCATCCAAATGCTCATATTTGCCTAAATCTATATTCATCTTCATTGCCACCATATTTGTTCTAAGTTTATACATTAATTTTCTTTCTTTATTTGTCTATTTAATGAATAAATTTGAATTTTGTTTAGCAAATACATTTTTATTGCATGAACCAATATGAATTAATATCATTTTTGGCTTGACTAGTTTATTATCATTTCATATGATTTGATTGTTTATACTCCTATGTTATTTCTTATTTACTAGATTGTTTATTGTGATATTGTGAGATCTAAATTATTTCTTAGATTTTCAAATTTAGCTTATTATATTTTATGAATATTTTATGAAATATCTTAGGTTCTTTTTGGAATTTTATCAAATCTCATGAAATCTAGATTTCATGAGATTTGATAAAATTCCAAAAAGAACCTAAGATATTAAATCACAACTTCTTTTAGGATTTTGTCAGATATGATAAAACTGCATATCTTTTTTTTTCCTAGATTGGGTCTACTATCACTGTAAAAAGTACCCAACTTTTTAAACCGTCTTTTTCTTCACTAATCCCAACTCCAGTATAAAAAGCTAATTTCAACTAGTTTAAAAGTCTCTTTCTCTAGTAGAGATAATCAAAAAATCAGAATGTTACACAAGTCCTATATTTCATATCCATGATATGCTATGAAAGTTAAGTATTTTGTGCTTTCCAGGTTTATTATCCAAGTCATCTACTTGAGATTTGTAAAACTCCTTCTTATTTAAGAAAATAAAACTCGTTAATCAACCACTACTATGGTAGGAAAAGAAAACCGTTACAACAAATTACCATAATAGAAAAAAATTAGCATTAATTTTAAAACTGATCTTCAAATCTATGGGCCGAAATCTCATTAGTTGCATGCAACCCAAAAAAAATCATTCATTTTATTCTATTGGGCCTCCGAGCCTCCGAGCTAGGTAACGAAAGATATCAAACATGAGCACGTCCTCTTTTCCAATAACATAGACCAAAGTTTCATAAAACATTAGAAATGGCCTCCAGCCAACCAAATAAGGAGTCAAAAGTATCTCCGGTTTACACTACTACTTTATCAAACAAAATATTCTCAAAATAGCCTTATAAGTGACAATATACAATCCAACAATATATAGTGCACTGGCCAGAGACATTACTGCTAATGTAGCTCAAGCCTTTGTGTCCCTTCCTGGTAACACACACCTAGAACCTTAACCTTAAACATTTAAACCACAGGGTGAGACTATAGTCTCAATAACCAGAGCTCCAATTCAAGATATAGACTAAAAGGTGCTCGTGAGGTGTCAAGTGGGGCAAAAACAAGTAATTCCATAAACATTAGCCACCATATTCATGCAAGTGCAATGATGCAACCCAACAGCCATATCCCTCACTTTGGGGGATCTTCTAGAGCTAAACTCGGCCTATCCCTCATTATGGGAGATGTAAAGAAGCAAACAGCCTATCCCTCACTATGGAGGATATAAAGAGCCAATTATCATGTATTAATAGAGGCCTTACCACATGGTGGTATCAATGATGTCTCTTACCAAGTCCCAAACATGAATCATGCTTACGTAATTTACCGAAAGGTAAGTCCATATTTCAAAAATAACTTCAATAGGTGGCATGTCTTCCAAATTTTCCAAAAACATTCAGTATAATACAAACCCCATAAGACAAAATCTTCCTTTTCAATATACAAAATGCATTTAGATCACAAATTGTTACTCAGAGTGAGGAAACAACAAATCTACTCACAATACCATAGTAGCGTGTGCAGAGAATTGAAAAGTGATTACTTCTCGCCTGAGAAAAGATTTGCAAACCACCAATGATGCCCCGTGCACCAGCAAGACTTACAACCAGTCTACACAAGCACACAAACATACAACCAATATGTATTAGCTTTCAAACTAATAAAGTGGTCAAAACAATACTTAGGAACTCAAAATTCATAACCTTAACCCAATCTCTACCTAATTCCAAAGGGCCAAACCATCTTAGTAACACTCCAAAGTCACAAGAGTCAAGCATTAGGGAAGGATAGAAACCTTAAAAATTAGTTGGAATTATCATGTTTAAGTAGTGTTTGGATTGATTTTTGGAAGAAAACCAAGTTAGGGTCTTAAGGGGTTCAATTTGGCCAAGGTATGTTCTTGGAGTAGCAGTTTGTTTTGTTGTGATTTGATGATTCTAATGAGTTTAAAAAGTATTTTGTGCAGGAAAACACCAAGAAAAAGTATTTAAAATCATTAGAATCAAAAAGAAAATTTTTAAAAAATATATTACCCCTATTCAGCCAATGTAAGATGGAAGGGAAGGAGTGTGATGATTTTGATAAAATGGAATCAAAGGAGGAATAATTATGTCAAAAATCAAAGAAGAGGGAAATTTAGTAGGGTTTAAGGCTAATTGTTTGTATTCAAACTTGAATGGTTGTTACTGTGGCTTGTAATTATACTTGAATTGATAGGTTTCGTGGAGAATAATCAAAAAGAACCTTAAACCCTTGAGAAGGCCAAATTGGTTCAAGTATAAGAGGTAGCATTGAATCTATAATTTGATTACTTTTCTTGCTTGCTTAATGTATTTATGTTGCTTGCATTGTGTTAGTTAAACTAAGTTATTGGAAATGGTTGATTTTATGATGCTTGATATGTTTTGGCCAAATGCATAATGATATGCCAATAAAATTATACGCTTGTTTTCTTTCATGGCATAATGCATGACATAATGACTTAAGGATGTCTTGAAGTGTTATAACATAATGCATTATGCAAAGCTTGATTAATATGATGATTATGACTCGTTGCTATTTAGATTTATATGAAATCTCATTCCTTTATATTCTAATATCCACCAACTTGGATCAAGTAAAGAGAAAGGAAAGGGACACACTTTTGAGGATGTCACATCTTAAAAAGTTTACCCTGACATAGGAAGTTAAAAATAAGAATGAGGGCCAAGTTAGAAAGTAGATAGATCAGTGAAACAACTTTTAATGTGAGACCCTGATAGGGTCCGGACTGATATCTTTGAAATTATCAGTCCAGGAAGGGCAAAATAGGAAAATTTAGAAACAAATTCCAAAAAATTCCTAAAAAATAATAAAAAGGTAAATTAGAGGTTTCGAAATGTCAATTGAGGCCTGGAAGATAAAAATAGTTATTTACAAAATTTCCTAAAAACAGAGGTTTTTTGAAAAAAAAATAGTGAAAATCAAGTAAAAATAATTATTTTAATAGTTAGGGGCCTTAATAATTCTGGAACAAATATGAAATAATTATCTAAATATTTTTTGAAATTTAGAAAATTGATTTCAGGCCCTGAAAGTATGAGAAATTATTTTAGGAAATTTATTTCCAAAATTTTTACCAATTAAGGGTCTATTGGGGAAAATTCAAAATAAATAGCTAGAGGTAGAAAAAAATTCTGAAATTTTTCAGATCATATTCTTATATTAAAAGAGGATTTTTCATAGAGAAAAATATAATTTTGGAAGTCTATAAAAATTATGAAAAGTTACTAGTGAATAGTAACTAATAAATTTTGTTTTTATTTGGAATTAATAATTATGAGTGGGCTCCACTTTTTTTTTTGTTTTTAGGGCAGAATTTGTATTCATTTTGGGCCAAGAAAAGCCCAAATTTTCGTGCAAAATAGTGGCCCAATAATTAATTGGATTTAGGCCCAATTTCAGTAAAAATATCAGTAAAATATTTTAGAGACTAGACATGTGACATGATCTGAAATTTTGGGGCAGTAGATGGCAACCACATGACCATTTTGTTAATGACATTTTGTGCCACAAGTGAAGGGGAAGAGGGCAGCAAATTTTTCTATAAATACCCCAAAACTACATTAAAATAGGTGAAAAATTGACAAAAGAGGGGAGGTGCTATCCAAGTGTTCTCTTGTGCTTTGAAACTAACCTTAGTGAGTGTATTTGAAGGAGGAATCACCAAGTTTTAGTCAAGATTCATCAAGGTATGTTTAAGCTTTATTATAATTAAGATTAAAATTTTTT